CCCCGCGCTCTCCGCCCCCACCCCCGTGCCCTGGCCGCTGGCGCTGTGGGCGGGGCGCGCTCGGGGAGGGGGGAAGCAAAAATGGGAACGAAAACGGGTATCCAGAATGACAAGGAAACCACAACCAATGAGACCTCACGACACCGACAAATACCCACGTAGAAACAAAATGGAGAAAAGTCACGTTTTCAAATGACATCCCAAGTGGTTAGGGTTAAACTATCCTTTTTTCTCCAACATTACGAAAAATTCAGAGCACATAGGAAAATGGAAAGAATTTTACACTGAACGCCCACAGACCCACCCTGGATTCTACAATTAACTTAGTGAAAGGAGGGACCCAAGAAACTTAGAATAAACTTCGTTCATAGGTTGCCTCAGTACAACCATTTTTGCTGTACGGAGGTTAGGCACAGGTTAGACAGATAAATAAGCTTCCAATGGGCAGGTTTTCGGAAGCGCTCAGACATTTTAAAAATTACATTTTACTGTAGGCCAAGTTGCAGCCTATCCCCCCCATCCCCACCCCCCCCCCCCAATCAAAGGAAAACTCCATCAGATGCAAGACTGGGACAGCCCAACCTTTCAATTCATGGTTTAGCATAATAATCTCTAAAAAACTTTCAGGTTCCTTTTTAAAGGCAGAAGGCCAAAGGTCACCCCTTGGCTGGTCTAAACCATAGACATGAAAATAAGACCACCTTTTAGCGAAGGAGCTTGTGAGTTGGTAACATCTGACTGGTCTCTTGCAGGAAAAACCCTTCCCCTTGCCTCCTCCCATCTAGCCCACCACCTGAGGACACGAGGTGCTAAAGTTTGGCAAGTCAAGATCTAAGACTCTTATGGCTACCATCCACATCAGAGACTGCAGTCCTGGACACTCCTTTTGGGGGCCCAAACCCACTTACCCCAGAGGCTCTTAAATATATCCAGTTCTTGGCCTTTCCGGGTCCCCTTTGCCTCTGAGTGTCGGCCTCCTTTCCAATCTGTGAAAGGGGAATAATAACTTTACTTCCTTCTACTTCTTACTTGGTTGCAATCTTGCATTATTCCTGTGGTACTGGCACCGGCCCACTCGCCTCAGTTTACCCTTTCACTTAGTATACTGCCTCTGCAGGTGTCTAACCGTGGATCCTCCTGCCTTACTAATAACCGAGGTCCAGGGGGGCTGCATGTGGCTATATCGCCTGCCCTCCCTGTCACCGGTGGCAGCTTCTCCCTAGATCACCGGGAACACCTGAGGGTCTGGAATTTACCAGCGTCAGGACAGATCTGCCTCTGACCACTGCGTTTGTTGGGCCATCTTTCCGTTTTTAGCTTCCCTGTGCATTCTTCTTTGCTATTGCCTTCCCCTTCATCGTCTCCCCACCTTCCTGTTCTCTAGTGTTTTGTTCTTGTGGTCACCGGGTCCTCATGCTCCGACCCATGCAAAGAGGAGGTGGACGCCAAGAACTCAAGCTGGGACTACAGTAGGCTGGGTTTTGTATCCAAGCCAGCTCTAAACAAACGGGCCTTTTTAGAAGCTGCATTTTTACTGGACTCTGTTGCAGAAATTCCCCAAATATGGTTCCCCCTGCAGTCCTCTCAACCGCACGCAGGAGTGCAGAGCATCCTACAGGGTGAGTGCACTTCACTCTCTTCTGCTAGGCGCCTTCACCCAATACACTTGATATTGAAACGTCTTGTGGTCATCGATCATCATAAGAATATAAAAGTTGATTTTCACTTTACATCCTCCCCTGCTTTCCTTCAAATGAGAATGCATGGGCACTACTGAGCGCTGAAGACCGCGCACCCAGAATCCGGCCAGCTCCAAGACCAAGTTCCAGCTCCAGCTCCAGCCCCAACCCCAGGCCGCACCTGCCCGCCGGTCGCGAGGCGCATGCGCACCCCCCGCCCCGACCCGCCGGCGGCTCCCCAGCGCGAAAGAAGTCCCGGGAGCACGGGCACGGCCGGAAGCTCTGCGCAGGCGTCGGCGCCGGGAGCGACGTAGCGCGGGTCAAGGGTCGACCGCCAAGATGGCAGCGGCGGTGACCTTCTGCCGGCTGCTGCGCCGGAGCGGCGCGGCGGCGCGGAGCCTGCCCAGGGCCGCCAGGCGCTTCGGGGTGCGGACCTCGCCGACTGGGGAGAAGGTCACGCACACCGGCCAGGTAACGGCCGCGG